GTTTTGGCATTACTAAAGATCCAGAATCTAGAAATTTTATAATAGTAATGGCATATGTAATAAATGGTAGTTTAAGACAACATTTAAATAATAGTTTTAATTCAACAAAATGGGATGAAAAGTTGAATATTTTAAAATATATTTCAGAAAACCTCAATTATATTCATGAAAATGGGTTAATTCATCGTGATTTTCATTGTGGTAATATATTAAAAGAAGAAAAATATATTTTAATTACTGATTTAGGATTATGTCGACCAGTAAATGTAAAACCATCTCAAAATGAATGTAAAGAATTATATGGAGTATTACCCTATGTAGCACCAGAAGTTTTAAGAGGAAAAGAATATACTCAAGAAAGTGATATATATGGATTTGGAATTATTGCATATGAAGTCTGTACAGGGCTTCCTCCTTATCATGATATTGATCATGATAAATTCTTAACTATTAGAATTTGTAAAGGACTTAGGCCAAAATCAAATTATAAAATTCCTCAATTAATTCTAAACATAATTAAACAATGTTGGGATGCTGATCCTTTAAAACGACCTAAAGCAAAAGAGTTAGAAAGTTTATTATCTGATTTACGATATTCAAGTAAAAATCATGAAATCAATAAGCAAATTGAAGAAGCAGATAAAATTAATGAAAAGTTAAGATCATCATCATCATCATATACTGGTCCTATTCTTTCATATACTACAAATCCTCAAGCAGTTTACACAAGTAGACTTTTAGATTTTAAAAATCTTCCAGAACCAAAAAATGCTATTGATAACAAGGATGATGATAATTCATTTGGAGAACATTCAGGTAATTAATTTCCTAATTTAACTTTACAAAAGCATTCTTCGAATATTTTTTTGATGTATATAATTATTTTTTTTTATATATTATAGGATCAATAGAAGCATTAGATTTTACTAAACTAGATCTAGGTACTTATATACATTAACTTTTTACATGATTTATTTTTATTAATAATAATTTATTTTTCACTTATAGATAAAAATAACTGAATTAAAGAAAGGAAAGGGATCTTGGGTATAAATTTCTTTATTAGTATTTACTATTTATTTTCTTTAACATTACTACAATATGATATTTTATTGGAATATATTTTTTATGATTAAATAAAGTATTTATAAAATTATATGGAAAATAAATATAATGAATTGCATGTATGAATGTTTTAAAATTGTAACAAAATTAATGCATTTAATAATAATTATCTAGGATTTTTTATCAAAAAGCATAATCATCCGAGATCTTTTTTTTTAATTAATTAAATAAGAAAAAAAATTTTTCATCATTTTCGAGCAACGCTAATTCACTATGTTAGTATTAAATTAATCCAAAGATAAGATTTTCTGGTAATTTTTATCTTTAAGGGGAAAAAATTTTAGTCGATCATCCCATTTTGACCAGATTTTCGCCAAAATTTTCCCATTCCATTTTTAAAAATCACCACATGCACAGTTGCCGTGGATACGAAAAAAATTGCCTTTTTGGTAAAAAAGTCTCCAGTTAATCTTTATATTATTATGTACTTGTACATGTACATGAACATGAACATGAACATGAACATGAACATGAACATGTACAGTACATGTACATGTACAGAGAAAGTGAACATTCACTATGGAAACTTTTTGCGCTGAGTTTAACTGTGCTGCTCAAAAAGAATGTTAACTTGACAGATCATGAAATAGTATGTTGATCATTTTTTATTAAAATGTGAAAAAAAAAAAAAAATTTTTTTTTTTAATCAAAAACGTCAAAAATTTGACGTTTTTGTGATTGAAAAATCAAAAAAAAATTAATTTTTTTTAATCAAAACGTCAGACTTGACGTTTTTGTGATTGAAAAATCAAAAATAATTGATTTTTTTTAATCAAAAACGTCAAAATAATTGATTTTTTTAATCAACTTGACATTTCTGTGATTAAAAAATCAAAAAAAAAATGATTTTTTTAATCAAAAACATCAGACTTGACGTTTTTGTGATTAAAAAATCATTTTTTTTTTGATTTTTATTAGCTAAGAACATCAGACTTGACGTTTTTGTTATTAAAAATCAAGGGAAAATGATTTTTATTAGCTAAGAACGTCAGACTTGACGTTTTTGTTATTAAAAATCAAGGAAATTTGATTTTTATTAGCTAAAAACGTCAGACTTGACGTTTTTGTTATTAAAAATCAAGGAAATTTGATTTTTATTAGCTGAAAACGTCAGACTTGACGTTTTTGTTATTAAAAATCAAGGAAATTTGATTTTTATTAGCTAAAAACGTCATACTTGACGTTTTTGTTAGCTAAAAATCAAAAAAAAATAGTGTACTTTTGTAAAAGTATACTAATAAATTAATAAAAGATTTTTTTATAAACAATAGATAGTGTTTAGTGAGATTTATAAAAAAATTTAAATGAGACTTTTTTTTAATAATAGTTTGGTATAAAAAAATTTTCTAGGATTTTTTTTTTTTTAATAATATAATGGTATAGTACAATAGATAGATATAATAAAATTTTCTGGGATTTATTTTAATAACAATAGGTATGATAACATTTTTGGTGATTTTTTTTTAATATTAAACAATAGATTGGTATCATAGTACAATAGATTTATTTAATAAGATTTTTGTGATTTTTTTAATAACAATAAATTGGTAATAACAATCATTAACTTATTAAGTTAATAATTGTTTTTTAGTAAAATTTTTTCCAGTAATACTAATAC